GAAGGGGCTTCTAGAAGGAAGAAGGGCTTTTGGGGTTTTGGCTTGGGGTTGTTTTTTAAATTATAGAGGGTGGGCAGCAAAGCTCCCGCATGAAAGAGTAGCCTTTGAAGAGTTAAAAGTTGCCTCTAAAAGTTAAGATGTTGCAAGGAACAGACTGAAAATGAAGGGGGAAAGGCACAGTGGGGGCTCGTTCGGAGCCTGCACAGGAGTGTGTAAGTCCTCAGTGTCCCCGAGTCTTCGTAGAGGTGGTCTGGATTCTGGCGCTGCAATCATGTTTTCAAGCCTTCGAAAAGCCTGGTTCTCTGAACACTTCATACTTCCTTGTTAATTCTGGAGCAAGCCATTTTATCAGTTTTTATTAAACCGTTTTTCATCTCTTCAAGGGGCTCTCTGTTTGGTAACGGAACATTGGACCTCTCTGACGTCCTGGGTTGCTGCCCAAGAGGGCAGACTCCAAAACGTTCTTGGTTTTAAGGCCTCAGAATCCCCACTTCCTGGCTGCTTAGTTTTTCTCAGCGTTCTGCCTTCAGCTGACTGAATATGTAGACATTCTCTGCATTTCCACCCTGAAGAAAAATTCCGTCTGCAGACTAACAGGTTTCTCTCCTAACACATCCAGTGTTTTTTATACTTCATCCTCCAGGGCGCTGGAAAAGGGGCACAGAACTAATGAGAAATTCTTTTCTTTTTTTCTTTTCCACTTTGATTATCTTTGTAATTGATCAGAAAAGGATTCTCTCTTGTCCCCAAAGAGTTCCTTCTGTGGTCAAAAGTACAGCAGCTGGTCTGGCATAAGAGCAAGCTCTCAGCACAGCACTGCTGTGCTGTGCTGTCCAGGCACCGCCCCTGACTGGCCCTCACCGCCCCTTGCCCTCTCCGCCCCTGGCCCTCGCCGCCCCTGGCCCTCACCGCGGCCGCCACCCGTCCTGCTCTCTGGACTGAAGGCGCTCTCCCTCAACCCCTGCCCAGCAGCCTGCCCAAGCTTGTCTTCCCTGCCCGAAACCCGCCCAGCATCCCAAAGAGCAGCTCCTCCAGACCTCCTCAGGGGAAGGAGTTCTTCCAGCCTCTTCATTCCACC